ATAAACAAGGGGCGCGGCTCTGGTTTATGAAAGACTTTAGGAAGGATTAATTACAAAAAAAAAACAAGCGCACTAAATGCACCCAAAAATGATCTAAAACGCTACGCAATTGCAAGCGGAAAGCGCTGTTTAGCGGCTTCGATTTTATTACATGTTTACCGTGAAGCGGGCGATTGCGTCACCGCGGATTATGGCAGAGGCGACAAGTGATCTCAGACATTGCCTCAGCCGCTGCAACCGCTTCCAATAATCTCTAGGACCCATAAAAACTAGCCCGCCCACCGCTCGGCTCATTCATGTCTCGCATTCGCCAACGCTCAATTCAATAACGCGCAGTGCAAACTCCTTGAAGGATGATCGTATTGTTTCTTAATGTATTATGAAATTTATGTTCTATGGAAGCTTGCACCTCCGCCTTGAGTAGATTTCAGCGAAGAGACGGATTGCCTTGATATTTCAACTGCACAAATCACTGTATTTTTATACGAGGGTAAACCTGATGGGGATTACCGCAACACACCCGTGGGATATATTGTGTTGCGTTTAGGATCCTGGTTACCGGACAAAGCGCAAAATTATTAATACTTTCACGGATTGCAGCGAACTCGGTGCATCTTATGAATAAAGGCTAAGTGCAAAACACACTAGCAACCCGCCCCTGCTTCGCACGGGTGCAATGTAGATATTGCATTTATCGGCTTTTCGCTACTGTGATATGCATGTAAACCTTCCGCTTGAGTCACTCTATCTTATGCTGAAAACTGTAGTTTAAGGGATCTAAGCGTACAAGCATCGTGATCGACGTTGTTTTCTAGTTTATACTATGTAAATATGAACAATACCGAATTTACTGAAAATTATTTACTGTTTAAAGCTTTCCGAAAATAAATAGTTCTAAGCTTTAAAGCAAAAAGTTAAAAGGGCCATCGCTATACAGATAGCGCAAAGTTTCGTTAAGTTCAAAGAATGTCATCAATTAATTTATGTAACACGGGAGCCACTACACTAGTAAGCGCTTGTCAACTTGCTTTTACCGAGCTATCCTACCCGAAACAACAAACTGATACGTTTTATGACGTATTAAATATCGTAGAAACTAAGTGACGTGTATATTAATAGCTGATTCGAATTATGACGTAATAATCTAGCGTACAAACTAGTTCCACGCCGGATTTCACTCGAAGCCGATCAACCATTGTGGTGTGACAAACTAACAGACACAAAATTTTTTGCATAATAAATGCTATGTTAGGGCGATGTGAATTTAGAATAACCGCCGTTTTGTAGCATAAATTCCGGTGTCCTATCGTTATTACGGCACTCGGCGCAGCCTCCAAGCCCGTCCGCTAGGGTGACCACAAATAATCCGGTTGTCCGGTCTCATCTATATCTCACAGAAATTCAAACTTTAAGGTTAAAAGGTAAACCAAACGGTTTGAATAGTGTTAGTCTGCCGGTAGTTCTATAAGAATACATTTAATTATAAAAATATCGATGACGTGATAAGTACGTTGATACCGATATTACAATCGATTCGAATCGATTCAGACAACTTTTCAAACAGTTATCCCAAAAATTTTCGTCGTCGAGCATTGCTGATGTCGTTTAACCACAGGGCTCTCGCTCACCCTGTAACCTTAAAGTTTTCTTGTCCGGGACCGAACAGTGGGAATGGTAAGCCTATCGCGGCAACAATAATAGCTATATGCTCCTCGCAGAACTGGTTTCGCGGCCGCGGGGCGTGCGCTCACCAGTTTCCAAAGGGCCGACTGACTTATCCGCGTATCGATGGTTCTTATGTGCAACAACACATGGAACCGTTTTTACACGAGAAACTGGACAGTACCTGACCCTGGTGGTAAGTGGCGATGCAGGGGATGATGTTAAACGTGCATATGCAGTAGAATTATATCCGGTACTGCCTCAAAGACGCCGGTGTTATATCACTAGTGTCAACATTGGTTCGTTCGAATCACTGATTTGATATATTTAGTAACAGACCAGTTCTTGAGTATTTGGATACATCTTACTCTATCCTCAAGGATTAGCTCGTCTATGCATTCTAATAACCCTTTCGTTTAGATAGACAAAAATATAGCTCACTTTCTTTCCCGCAAAAACTTTATTTATACCTTATGAAGCGGTGTATTTCAATCTAACAATATTGTAATTAATTTAACGAAAAATATTTAGAATATTAAATAATCAACTTAGCCAACGCGGCGTGTTACCGAGAATGTTTAACCTTTTAAGCGAGCAAACAACGTGCTCTCAGTTAAAATTAATTCAACTTATAAAATATGCAATACCCATTGCCCATCGTGCCTCTCAGCTTAGTCCAAACTGTGACTAGCGTTCTTTGAAGCGTCGAAACGTCGGAAATATAAAAAAACCGGCCAGGAGCGAGTCAGACTCGGGCACGAATGGTTCCGTACCATTAACTAAACGGGGAAAAAATCATGTCTGTTGTATGGCAGCTCCGCGTAAATAATTTATTTATTTTGTTTTTTTTTTTGTATTTGTTATTAAAGCGGCAACAGAAATACATCATCTGTGAAAATTTCAAAAACAAATAACATTTCACCATCCGACCAACAAAACATCAATATACAAAACAATAGGTCTGTCTGTCGCTCAGTAAAAGTAGGGCAAACGTAGGAACTTTGATATATATACATCAATATAAACGTATATGTAATCCAAGAGAACGGATTTTAATCATGCATATAAAAGCAAACTGCGTTATCGACTTTTTACTTCGTACATTTAATTATAAAGTTTTAATTATAAATTAAATATAAGTTATTGGACAAAGATGTTTCTCGCTCACCAAACATTTTTCATTATCAATTGGACCTGGTCTACATCACACTTACAGTGTACTCGGGCGAAACAAAACTAAGTCTACAAGAATGTGGGCGGTAACTGATGAAAATAAATTACCCGCGAACGGTGTCATCGGGGTCTTGGAAACAAATAAAACGAAACGGACATTCCGCGCCGCTAGGGGGCGCAGAATATGGCGTGAATATTTTTAACGGGTGTGCAAATAAAGGACTTTTGCGCAACGCCAAATCGGCCAGCCGGCTTAGTCACGCGTGTTTTAGAGGGTTATGGAATGATCTCCGCGGTGTGGCTAACAAAGAATGAATGCAGAACCAAAACATAACGATCAACAAGTTTAAGCGAAAACCGCACATTGTTATGTAAACACTTTGTTGACATAAAGGTGTACGTTGGATACCAAAATATTACAAGGAGTATCGCGATATAATAATGAACCGATTAACGGGGCAAAATTATTTCAATATTCTATATGTAGATTTAGTTACTGGCGATAAGTATTTGACATTAGCTCCATAATTCTTAAGTCAAAATTTTATTTCCACTAATAAAATCTACAGATAGATAAAATATTGTAAACGGCCGTAAGACTGCTAACTTTTGACACTTCACTTGATTCTTCCTATATACACTTTACGATACACTTACGGTCTATTTCATAATGAGTTATCGGAGGTTTAAAAGCTAGCTAAAATTAGATTGTCAAAAAGCGTTATTCATAATCGTTCTATAACGCTAAGAAGTTCATTAACTCTTCGATAAAGTGTCTTCGATATAAACAAGCTAGGACCCTACTATAAACCTTCGATAAATGTATATTAGCGAAAAACATGGCCGATTTCGACGCAATGCCAAGGTGAGCGCGTGCCGAGAGCTGAATGGCATGAGACTTTATAAACATGTCATAGAGATATGATATGCTGCACCTCAGGGTACCATGGTGCTAACTCTGTTGTACTGAAGCCCTTATCCCCCTACAATGGACCTCTGGGGTTATGGACCATTTTTGTCCTATACTCGTAAAAATATTACTGCAATGCTCGGCCAAGCTAAATGCAAATATTTGAACGTAATAATTGCCAGTTTCAACACTTGCAGCACATCCGAACAAATAGCAATTAAGTATGTTCCCTAATGTGCGATCGTCCTACGCAACCAAATATTTACTCGTTCATTAGTCTCTATGACATTCGGACAAACCCTCAAAAAATATCTTCTTATTGAAATACTTCACACATCTTAAGATGAAGAGTTTAAATTGAAACTGTATACACTGTATGTGAAAAGGTTGCTTCTGACAACAACGATGATTTCTGACGTTTATAATTTAACGAAAAAAAAAGCATTTAAAATAAACATTAGACATTAAAAATATATTTACTTTCGCGTCTCATCCACCGAATGAAGATCCAAATAGACACGAAATGTTTAGATTAGACCATACGAACGAATCGACACTTCAACCAGAGGCCAGTGGCAATCTTGCAATGAATTCGGTTCCACGTGACCTTTCCATTGATCTATTTCGCTTTAAATCTCGTCGTTCTAAGCCAATTAGCGACACAATCGAGACTAATGACAATTTTTGCTTTAAACAGTGTTTGAACACAGAATAATAATTTGCTGTGATAGCCTTGAGTTGTTATTTGACTTGAGGTTATTTTATCTATATTGAAAAATGAGCGATTCTTTTATTTCAAGTACTTTATTTCGTCAGGTGGTCACTCAAAGATCATAAGTTCTTTAGTTTTTCCCATCGGAAGTCGAATGTCGAATTTCTATTTAAAAGTTTAACCACAAAAGGTAAAATATCATAAAATGATTTAAAAAAAAACACAAAAATCCGTTTTAGAAACCAAAAAACATCAATTAAACAATCTGCGTGGTAAGTTTAAATAACAATATACCAGATGAAATTCGTTCACAACTATGCATAAATATGAAAACCGGAATTACTACAAACTCAAAATAAAAAAAACCTAAAAGCACTTAAAATTACAACCAACAATTTCATGCTGACAGCAGCGAGATTTGTAATAGAACATGCTAAAAAAAGAGAGCGAATGGACCAAGATCTATTTAAAATGCAAAGACCCAGGAAGAAGGGCAGTTAATACGCTTCTATAAAGTCCGCACTACGTTTAGAAATTGCATTAATACGACGCAGACGCGCGTGCCAGGTCAGGTGTGAAGCTGGCACATTGTTTGAGGTGCTCCAGTGCCGCCAACCGTGCCACTAAGGAGCCAGGTGTCAACGGGCAGCGGCCCGTGAAGGTTGCCTGCATGCATCGTTCACACACACAAAGCCTTGCACACGCAGAGCGACGTAAGGAGACGGAGCATTAGTTTAATGAAACTTTTTCTTTCTTTTCGGTGAGAAGGTGCTGGTGGTCCACCTGATGTTAAGTGATGACCGCCGACCAGTGACATTTGAAACAACCGTTGGGTTGCAGATGCATGCCGCGTTATTAAGTAGCCCTAGTTACCTCACTCACCAGACGAAACGCAGAAGTGCAACACCATCTTCACGCCCGTCTTCTGTGAGTTCGTGGTACTTCCCCGGACGGACCTGCCCATTCGTGCAACAGCGAAGGCTCTCTATTGTCGGGAATTTCAGTGTCTATCGACAGTCTAGTTACCGTTAATCTCGCTAGTTGCTATCCTACGAATTGTAGCAGTGGGATAAGGATTGATGATTACGATGGTGAATTTCAATAAGTTCGTAGAAAGGTCATAAAAAATTCTAAGTGTATTTCGTATATCGGAAGTTTGAGTGTATGTTTGCATGACTGTCCGCTAATTTAGCGGCTGACTGGCGCCCAGCGACCGTGGCTGTCAGCTTAAAAGTGACGCATTACGTTCAGTATTGGGTTACGGTAGCGGTCGCCATTCTGTAAAATTGTAACATTAACCAATACTCTATTTAACAGATTAAAAATTGAACGCTATTCAAGCAATAACTGACTCTGGATGCGAAACTTCTTGAATTATCCACCTACGGTCTTATTCATAATAAGATATCGGAGGTTTAAAAAGCTCGCTAAAAATAGATTGTCTTAGCCCAATTTTATTAAGCGACTTTAAAAATGGGAGTTCTGAATTCGGTTGTATCTTTTAAATGTTTGTTACCTTAGAACTCCGTCTAGAAAGTTATAAATAAAATCATTTTGTACTTTGCGGAGATAACGCCGAGTTAATAAAATAACTTAGCATATAAGCCAAGGTCTAGCACACTCTTCAAGTGGTGGTGCCAGGAACATCTGCAAGAATGGACAGGTTCGTCATGAACGCACCACGGTCTCACAGAAGACCGGCTTTAATGGAAGTGTTTTTGTGTTTCGTCTAGTGAGTAATGTAACCTGGACCCAATCCTCTGAATGTTCGTCTATGTCATCTATGTCTTCGACCACCCCTAAAGGAGTTATAGATATCGAAGGTTGACGGTACTCGCTTAACATCAGGTGGACCGTCTGATATGAAGTGAATACTACCGACTACCGAGTTACATCTACCGCTTTCTCTTTTATTTTAGCTTACACATTTTTAAAAGTTTATTTACAAGGCGCTATCCGTTAAAGAAAAAGATGGCGAGGAAAATCTTCGAAATATTTAAGACATTTTTTGGACACATGTAGTGTGCCTAAATAAAGTCCTTAAAGTCGCTTCTCGAAGCTGCTTTTTCCAAGGTAAAGATTAATATTACAGACATTGGTTTCTTTGACGGCTTTAATTTTACTCTGTTACTTCACTTTTACATTATTAACATCAACGGATACCGCCCGATCCCTTGGCGACCGCACTTTTATTTCTGCCGGTGACATCAGGCCTGCACCGCTAACGAGGCTGGCTCCACGACCAAATAACGAGCCCGCCATGTTCCGAGAACGCCCATCGATTATTGCCTCGATCATTGGAGCACCGAGATGTGCTGGACCCATGTGAGGCAATGTGGCGTTAATTTTAACGACTGCATTCCCATGACGAAGTAAGTAGAAGTTGTAAGTGTAGAAAGCTTACGGAGTTCTTTCTATCTATACAATACAAAATATATTAACTTTATTTCTACGCATTTTGTTATTTCCCTAAGCATTACTTAAATTATATTAAAATATAACTATCTAATAACATACATAAATATCTCCAATGACTCGGAGGCAGCTGCAATCAATATATAGCCAATAATCAGCAAAATTTTCAAAACTTCGCATATTACTGCATGTTTATTAACTCCGTTTTAAGGCCCATAGATCTAATGTAAAGCGTAACTATACTCAATCAAATAACGAACGATATATGTATTAACAAAGCGACTTAAAATCCACTCATAAAAAATCGTGCCTTTAGCGCATTTATTTCAACGATCCGAAACTGTAAGTCAAGCTCGCCGGCAGCTTATAAAAATCGATGGCTCAATTTAATTTGAAAATTAAATGAGACATTGAGAATTAATGGGTCCATCAGATTTAATTGTCGTAAGCTTTTATAGAAAGATTAGTGCAACTTTTACATAAAACATGGACACATTAATTGTGTGAGCGATTGTTATGTATTTAACATCGTCGTATAAGATTAGGCCGCACCAAAGATATCTTGATTTAACTGCAGAGATCAATGTAAGGAAAGTTTGGAATATTAAAGATTTAAAAAATTTCAAGT